TAGATAAATCGAGATTTGAACTGCTTAGAGCTGCCCTTGGTGTTTGCAATCCTACAGCTTAATCATCAACACCAGGTACAACAAATAATCGCTAATTAATTTTATTTAACGTAGTTGTCATTTATTTGTTGCAGGAAAATTCAAAAAAAAAAAAAAAAAAAAAAAAAAAAAAAGCTCTCCAACGTAGTTTTAATTCTTCTCGCCCATATACCTGCCTATTTCCTTAACCGGCTCGGCTACCTTATTTATCTATATATTAATTCCACCATTACATAATATATATTGAAATATTAAGTTCAAACAACTTCCACCACTCTCTCCTACTATGACTCTACTACTACCCCTACAAACTAGTCACATCACTCATCCCATCCATCACAACTTTTGAGAAGCTCATTAATTAAAAAGCCTTCTTGTCTTTCTTGCTCTTACACGCCAAACCCACACCATTCATCTTCATCTTTACCACTCTCAAACATTGAACCTTCAATAATGGAAGACGACAATCCTTTCGCCATTTTCACAACCAAATCCGAAAGATTGGAGCTTTTTCGACACATCATCAACGCTGAATCTCCGCTTACATCTGATGATACGGATCGAGTTCTCGCAACGATCAAGCAACATGCAGGCCTTCTTGAAGGACTCTCGGACAGGGAAATCAAACAGATCCAAGCTCTAGCTAGGTTCATATCTGTGGAGCCGTGGACTTTTCCGGCCGAATCAACCATACCGCCTCCGCCACAATCTGAGTTGAAGGTCTCATCCCCGAAAACCATGGTAGTATCTTCACCTTTAGATGAATTAGTTTCTGCTTCTAGAAATTTAGATTTCAATATCTCTATGCCAAATCAGTTTGTGTCTACCTTGAGTGATTTGTGTGCCCCTTCCATTCCTTTACAAGGTGATCCGTATGATTCTTCCTCACATAAATTACCTGAAAATCTTGTGCCATTATCTGATTTAATGCATGCTGTGTCATCTCCCTTCACCATTCGAAATATTAACCAATATGTGTCTCCCATGGCGTGTGCTGCATATTCTATTCCCATAACTATTCCAGTCTCGAAATCTGCAGAGGTTCCCATCCCTGTGCCCACCTCACATGATTGTGTTCCCATTACCTCTGTGCCCGTGGGCAAATCTTCCCGAAAAGGGAAAGAAAAAATTGCTGTTTCAGGTACAGCCGAGAAAAGAAAAATTGGAGCATTGGAGGACGTTGTCTACTTGTCTGAGTCCAAGAAATCAAAAAGAGGGTCCACATTGCCACCCAGAATGACAAGGTCCAGATCAGTTTCAGGCCCAGTACATAGTCCGGCCCCTGCTCCAGCAGCTGCTACTGCCCGCTCTGGCTCAAAGATGAAACAACCCAAGAAGAAATATCATCCTATTTTACTGTCTCCAGATTTGATGTCTGACTGGAATGTTCATGCTACTAGGGATTTTATTCTGGAGAAATCCATCAATGTGGAGGAATTGACAGAAAAATGCAACATTGTGCCTATTTTGCGAGATCAATACCTGCTTGCCTCACTTGTCCATATTGGCCCGTATTCCAGATGGCTAACTGCCGAGTTCTACACGAATTTAACATTGGATACGTTTTCGGAGGGGTCACCGCGATTTCAACAAGTCTTTATTCGGGATAAATGGTATCCCTTAAGTCCGGCAGCGATTAATTCCTATTTGGGTACTCCAAATCATCAAGCTGCTCCTGACCCGAGTCCTAATCTCCTAGCCGCTGCTTTAACTCACAACAAGGTCGTCACTTGGCCAAACACCGGACTTGAAAGCTTAAAGCTCACCACTGTCTACTCTGTTCTGTTACGGCTAGCCTCAACAAATTGGATGCCGGCTGTTCGTCATCATCTTGTGTCTGACCAGCTTGCTTCCCTTCTCTACAAGATCAGGAACCGGCTCCCTCTCAATCTTGGAGAAATCATCTTTGGCCATCTTGCTCAATTTGTGCGACATAGGGAACCTAAGGTACACCTACCGTTTCCTAGTCTCATTTTTGGACTTCTACAGGAACACGGGTTCAAGCCCTACACAGATGAGGAGGTGATTGCTAATGCCTTAGTCTATAAATATGATGATCGGTTGACGAACAAGGATCACTATGATGATAGAGCTACGCTTTTGATCACTACCGGCGCACCAACTGCCACGCCCTCTGTGTCTGCCCCTGCATCATCAGCTGACACTGCCTCTGCACCGAATCCCCGTCCTACGACAGCTATCAAGGAACCTCCAACGCTCATGGATCGCCGTCAAATTGTTCTCACTCTTCAAGCGTCAATTGCGCAAGTCCGAACCTCGGTTGCTTCTCAACAAATAACCATTGATGGCTTAGAACAATTGTTGAGTGCTCAGTTGGAAGAAATCGCCAGAATGGAGGCTATCTATGCTCAGATTCGATCTAACCCTGGCGCTGGCACTGGTTCTATTTCTGAGAGTGATGAATCTGAGTCGGGCACCCCGTCTGCAAGTTAATCCAATCCACTAAAATGATGTTCACCGGTTTGTTTGTCATTTATTTGGCATAAACAAAGGGGGAGTATTGGAGAAAAGGGGAGTATTTTGAAATGTTTGGATATTTGGTAAGTTTTTGGTTTTTGGAATATTTTGGTTCGGATGGTATATTAATAATTTGGTACTATATAAATATTTTTTGGTATGACTATGAATGAATTAAGTATGAAAGTATGAATGTCTTGGTATATTTGGTATGTTGACTGCATGAATTGGGTTTATTTGGAATGCATATGAAGAAAGGAAAGCTCCAAGTTAGGGGGAGTAATTCAAATTTCAGTACGGAAAGCGTGACATATATGGTATGTTTGATACAACACTATTTCATGCATGATTCACTATTTATTAATTGGATGAAGTTTGTGAGTCAACATCAACCAAGGTTCAAAATAAAATCCCACACACAAATAAGCTTTGGTCTGGTCTTAAGAGAATTTAATTTCACATTTGTTTTCTTTATATGTTCAGTACGTATACTATGGGATGTTAATAGAATATTCATTCCTTTTCCCAAAGTATAATGATACTATTGTTTTACCAAATAAATTGCCAAAGGGGGAGATTGTAAGTGTACAAAATAATACACATTAGATTGGCTAATTTATTAGTTTATTTTATTAATATGTAATGTTAATTAAAATTGATTTGTAATTAGTATTATTGGACCAAGCTAAAATGTGTGGTGGAGATTTATTGTTAATGAATTGGACAAAGAAGCAAGTCTGAAGATCTCATTTAATGAATGAGTGGTTGAGAAGAATTCAAGCCACATATGAAGCTACAATTAAGGCTTGGTGAAATGGGAGTTGCGTACAGTATATAAGGAAGGGAAAACGAAAGAGGAAGTTCCCAATTCTGAAATTTTGATCTCATATGCAAGCTTCCTACATTACTGCGTTAATATTGATTATATTATTTGTGATTTAAATCTGTACTACAAATCAGTACCTGTGACAGCTGAAGTGCTACACCAAAGATGTTTATGGCATGCACGGTTCAGTCCTGAGTATGTGTTTTAGAAGAGTTGTAGTGGTAAAGGCTGTGAGCCGTTTGTAGTTACCTCTTGTAATACTCTGTGGTGAACATCTAGTGGATTGGGCAGACGTGGGTTGCCCCGCAGACGTAGGAGAAGGAGCTCCGAACTGCGTAACAATTCTACTGTGTCTTTACTTTATTTACGCTTTCAATTTCGTTATTTATATGTTGATTGAATTGATTTAATTAAACAGCGAAATTGTCTCGTAATATAAAATCAAGTAGAATCCTTAGTGTTAAATTGATTTCAAGATACACGGGCTTTTTCAAGTAGCTTGAATTAGCTTAATGAATTGTGTTCTTTATATTAGTTTCATGTTTAATAGTTTGATACTTTACGTTTAAAATTAGTTTATGTTTATTGGCTTAATGTTTAGTAGTTTTGTTGAATTGTGGTACTTATATTAGTTTTATGTTTAGTAGCTTGAATTAGCTTAATGAATTGTGTTCTTTATATTAGTTTCATGTTTAACAGTTTGAATTAGTTTAATAAATTAGTTGATGTTGAATGTTGAATGTTGAATGTTAAATTGCTAGCCGCGCAGGATTTGAAAATTGATACATGTTGGGTAGAAAACATAAAACGCATATAAATAAATAAAAAAATAATAACATATGGCGTCGGTTTTTAGGTAAAAGCCGACGCCGTATGTTATTATTTTTTTTAAAAAAATATATATATATACGGCGTCGGTTTTTACCTAAAAACCGACGCCGTAGGTTAATTATTATTTTTTTAAAAAATAATAAATATATACGGCTTCGGCTTTTACCTAAAAGCCGACGTCGTATGTAAATTATTTTTAAAATATATATATATATATATATATATATATATATATATATATATATATATATATATATATATATATATATATATATATATATATATATATACGGCATCGGCTTTTACCTAAAAACCGACACCGTAGGTTAATTATTTTTTTTTTAAAAAATAATAAATATATACGGCTTCGGCTTTTACCTAAAAGCCGACGTCGTATGTAAATTATTATTTTTTTAAAATATATATATATATATATATATATATATATATATATATATATATATATATATATATATATATATATATATATATATATATATATATATATATGTATATATATATATATATATATGTATATATATACGGCGTCGGCTTTTACCTACAACCCGACGCCGTATGTTACATACGACGTCGGTTGTTCAACCGACGTCGTATCATTTACTTACGGCGTCTTTTAAGTCGACGTCGAAAGATAACCGACTTTAAATGGGGTATTTTAACCGACGTTAAAACCGTTTTCTGTAGTAGTGTAATGCTCTAATAAGTTCTTCAACATCAACTCTAGAAGATGAAGAATGTTGGAGAATCTTCTCATTGAGTTATAGTCACTTGTCCCATAATTTGAAAGCTTGCTTTTTATATTTAGGAGTTTTTCCAGAAGATTATAAGATCAATGCTAACAACCTTGCAAGGTTATGGGCTGCTGAAGGACTTGTAAAGGCATTCAAGAATGAGAGTTTTGAAGCGGTGGCTAAAAGGTATATAAATGAACTTATGGATAGAAATTTAATTCTTGTAAGTGAACGAAGTAGTTGTGGAAGAAAAATAAAGGAGTTTAGAGTACATGATTTATTGCATGCCTTTTGTGTAAGAGAAGGTCAAAGCCAGAGTCTTTTGCATGTTGCTGATGAAAGTAGTTCCAATTTTCCTGAGAAAGGTGTCCGTTGGATAAGAATCGAAAGGGTGTCATTTCAAGATTCGGACATCGATCTCTGCCTTACATTCTCTGTCAAAACACTGTCGGTCCATCTTTTATTTTTCGGATCGGGTGTGGCTCCAACGTTCAATAAATTTGGAATTTTTCAGCTTATTGAGGGTACTCTATGTTACTGAATTCTATTCCCCAAGTCGGACTGTTCATATCCATTTGAGATACCTATGGATATCTCATTTGTCGGCCAACGACTGTGATTTTCCTATGGAATTAAGTCGTTGTGATTCATTATTCTCCAACGCTTGGAATCTTCAAACATGTAGTGCGTATGAAGATATTGGATGGAGGCAATTGGAGTTTCCACAACTACAGTATATTCGCTGTTGTACAATTTATGGACCTTTTCCCAAATCTGTTCATCAAAACTTGCAGGTCATTAATAGTTTGCGGGCTAGTCAATGCAACCAAGAGTCTTTAACAAAAGTTCCATACCTAAAGAAGGTATCTATTACTATAGACAACCCCAATGATTGCATTAAGAACATTGTCTGTTTACAGCAGCTCGAGAGTTTCTCTTTTTGTTGATTTGGACGTTGAAATTCCGGATATGACAGCTCAAATCGTTAACAATATTATTCTCTTTAAAAACATTAGGAAGTTGATGTTTGATTTTGTGAAATGTGAGTGGAAGGCAATTAATGTTTTGAGCAAGTTACCAAGGCTTGAGGTGCTCAAGTTAAGGTATTATGACCTTTGCAAAAAGTGGGAAGTACCAGAGAATGTGAAATTCTGCCACTTAATTTGTTTGAAAATTTGGTATGCTAATCTCAAGCATTGGGAAGCTGGTGCTGATAATTTTCCAAAACTCGAGCGCCTATTCCTTTACTCATGCTCTGGATTGAGAGAAATCTCGAATAGCTTTGCAGAAATTCCAACATTGAACTTAATCCAATTAGAGGGGTGTCATCCTTCCGCAGTGATGTCAGCAAAGCAAATTCAGGCTGACCAGCATGACTATGGAAACGAGAATATGGCTGTCATTGAGAAAAACACAAGAAAGGTCTCTCGATCAATCTCCATTTCTTTTTCTCAATTGCTTTTTATTTCAGTCTCCTTTAATTTTTCTCCCAACTTCATTTAGTTTCATCACATCCTAATTTTTTTTCATTGATTCATGAAATCCTCGCTCTCTAGCTTGAAGATTACCCCGATGAAGGTTAGTTTGATGAAGATGAGGAGTAGATGATCGGCCCTCCGAGAACCAAAATCCAATAGGTATGGGAAGAGCAGATTGCTGCTGTCGCTGTTTTTGCAATTTTGGTCTTTGAAATGGTTTTTGGTACACAGGTTCTTCAGCTGCAAATTTGAATAGGATATAGATTACTATATTAAATTACTGTCTTGTATCTGCTTTTAGGAATGAACAATATAATCTGCTGGATTTAAGGCTTGCTAGATATATGGATTTAAGAATTGTAAAAATATTTTGATCTGATCAACAATATTAATAGTGATGAATTCTCTTTAACTTCAACGTAGCTGCATTAGCTTGCTCTTCTTCATCTAATATTTATTTTGTGAAAAGGCATGCAAATCTTTATGGTTTTGTATTTGAGACAATTGGGAGACATTCTTGTTAAAAAAACAGCCGGGTCCATCTTCTATTTTACGAGGTTGAGCAAACATTTAAATTTGGAATTTTTCAGCCTATATTGAGGGTACTCTATGCTCCTTATTTCCATTCATGAAGGAAGAATGTTGTTCATATCCATTTGAGATACCTATGGTTATTCAGGGCATGGGATGATTATGAAAAGGCTTGGAATCTTCAAACATTTTAGTGTGGGTAAATATACAGTATATTCAATGTCGTGGATTTTATGGAGATTTTCCCAAATCTGTCCATCAAAACTTGCAGGCCATTTCTACATGAGAATATGGTTGTCATTGAGAAAAACACAAGAGAGGTCTCTCTCCTTTTGTCTTTATCAATTGCTTTTTATTTCACTTCGAAATGAGAATATAGTTGTCATTGAGAAAGACACAAGACTACAAGAGAGGTCTCTCTCTATTTCTCTTTCTCAATCAGTTGTAGCTCAAAGAGTAGATCAATATCACACCACCAGGATTCGATCATGTGACCTTCTCTCAATGAGAGTCACAAAGGTGTCAATTGAGCACAAGGTGCTTAGCCTCCGAACTTTAATTTATTTAGTTTCATCATATCCTTATATGTTTTCATTGATTCATGACAGAGTTTCATGAAGATGCAGAGTAGATGGTGCAAAGCTAGAGCAAAGAAAGACTATAAAGTCGCTAATAAATAGCGCGCAATATGATGATCTGCCCACAGAGCCAAAATCCAATAAAAGACTATAAAGCTGCTAAGGATTGTAAAAATATTTGGATCAACAATATTAATAGTGAATTCTCTATACCTCAACATAGGTATCGGTAGTGATCAACTCATTAGCTTGCAAATTGGTCTTCTCAATCTAATATTTATAACTAAATACACATAAAATTAATAACATATTACTTGAGGAAATTTCATTTTTGGTCCACTAACTATTGAACTTGTGTTAATTACAATCCCGGACTCTCAAAACTATTAATTTAGTACCTTAACTATGCATGCAATTTATATCAATTTTGGTCACGCCGGCGAAATTACCGGCCAAATCTCTGACTCTCAAAATTATTAATTTAGTACCTTAACTATGAAATTTACTTGAGGGTATTTTAGTCATTTTATTTCTCTTTTCTGTCTTCTCCGACGAATCTACCATGTTTCCTGCGAGTTCTCTAGCGACGGCTTCGAATGCAGCAAATTGTACAGGGCCATCGAGCGTACATGCGAGGCCGCTCAAGGGGGAAAGGCGAAGCGGCTCAAGCGTACAGGCGAAGCGGTTCAAGCGTACAGGCGAAGCGATTCAGTTGTGTATGTGAACTATGGAAGCGTCATCCAAATAGAATTTGATCTCATTTTAACAGGTATCTACAACGTAACCCAGATAGAATTTGGTCTGGTTTGACTTATATTTTTACATGATTTTAATTTAATTAGCTCCTTAGTTTTCCTATCGAGATGACATATTCTCCGGCGAGTGGGAATGCTCTGGTTGTTGGCCTTATCAAGGCTTTGCTAGTTTCCGGCGTAGTGTTCTTCATGGGGATTGTTTTGATCCCCAACGCACGTAATTGTCCCTTGTCTTCTGATTTGGCCAACGTCGGAGAATCCGAGCTAGAGGCCGATGTCGCCACGGAGGCGGCGACCAATATGAGCCACCTGATATTCGGGATTGTGGGGTCGGAAAGCGCATGGCACCATCAGAACTCTCTGGGAAACATGTAGAAAAGAAAAGAAAAAAAATAAAATGACTAAAATGCCCTCATTATTTTACCTATTAATATTTTCCAAGTTTGGAAACTAATTTTCATTTTATTTTATTTTTAATGAAACCATTGCTCTTTTTTTTTAAAAAAAAATATAAATAATATTAATGTTTTTTAAGTACAATTCTGTCCATTTTTTAGAAAATGATCCAAACACATTAATATAGTTTTCTGAAATGCAACCAAACACTGAAAAAGAAAATGTTTTCTGAAAAATGACTCATCTTCCAGAAAACATTTTTCAGAAGTCATTTTCAGGTTTCCAAACACACCCTTAGTTGTTCCTTCATATCACACAACTCATTCTTGTAACTACCTTCCAAAGTATCTACACTCTTGTGCTTAATCACCTATTATTCAACCTATTTTTTGATCACTCTTCGAGACAATATCTGGTGTGAGAATATTCACTTGCACTTCTCTCCATTCCATCACCACTTATACTCAACTTTCAGCAGGGGTCCAAATACTAGGAAAAACAATTTATGAGCAGTTAAATAATAGTTTTTTGAAAGAATGGAAATTATAATTCAATGCGAGTCTTAAAAATTTTACTAAATAGAACACATCTAGTGAGTAATTCTTTATTAAAATTGACCAAAAAATTAATATGGTAAACAAAGCTTGGTTATTGATATTTTTATGATATTTAATTTTAACAAATTTCGGAGCTAGCTAAGTTGGTAATTTCAATTCATTTAAAAATGAATTTGTCAAATATTATAATAGCTCATACTGGATGGAACTCATCAGTACATGTATATGACAATTAAGTGAAAACAAAACAGTGAGTAGAAATGACACAAGAACTCACACCCAACAGGGGCGGGTATTAATGAATCAATCAATCAACATATCGATCAAGATTTGACAAACCTTGATTCTGCTCTGCCTGGGAAATAAATTTTTGAAGATCATGGAGAATTACACGGAACGCTTGATTCTTGGGAGTGAAAGAAATATCGAGCAAAGGTTTGTCCTTGAAGTGGTTGGTGGCATATGAGACTTTGAAGCTGCGGAAATGAACAGATTGGAAAATTGAGCTGAAGAGATCCATGTAGAGGGGGAGTTGATTCAAGGCAAAAAGTGTGACAGGCAAGCATGTGAGGATGTATATTGGGAAAGCGGCGAGTTTGATATGATCGGTGAGGACGAAGAAATGGCCAGCACAGAAGGAGATCAAGATGGCAGCGATTGAGGTGAAGAGACAGGTGAGTCCAAGCAGCAGCTTCCTGGGGAGATTGTTCTTGAAATCCTTTTGTTGGCAGCGGGAGGTGAGGATTGCGAGGAAGAAGACGAGAGCGGTGACTGAGAAGCCCAGAGCTATGAGTGATGAGACTGCGAATGCATCAAAGGCGGGCTGGCCTTTAAGAATGGGACGCCCAGTCTTATCATCCACCCCTCCAGGGATGGTTGCTGATGTAGCAAATGCGACAGTTGCAATCAGCGCAGCAATGACAGAGCAGGAGTTGGAAGTGGTGACCAACCATTTGGTGCCGCTTTTGGTAAGATCAGCATGTGTCTCTTTGAACACTTCCTCTGGAACCTGTCCTTTGTTGTTGAAACGAACATAGGATTCTCGTGCCATATGTCCCTTCACGTACTGCATTCATTCATTCATTCATTCATTCATATATGATATCAATTAAGTTTCAGTGCGGGTAAATGTCTCCCGTGCGTGTGGTTGTGTGGATTTAAAATGCCTGAGTTTTGTACTTCAGGTGCATGAGTCTTGTGCTTATTAAGGTGCGTGAGTTTTGTGCTTAAGGTGCGTGACTTTTGTGCTTAACATGCGTGGATTTGTGCTTAAGGTATTTTGTTTGTGTGCTTAATGTGCGTGTTTTTGTACTTTAAGTGCGTCAGATTAATGTTTAATGTGCATTCACCCGCACAACTGAGAAGTCTTCCCCGCACCTGATCCCTTCCTTATATGATATTATCCATATATCCCCGCATAATGTAATATAATAATATAACATATTATAGTATATACCTTGTACCATTTCAATTCTCCTTGCAATTGCAATGCAGCACCAGGCATGCGCCAATTCTGCTGACCATTGTACATTGCAGCAAGGTGCACTGCACTGTTTCCCTCGTTATCCACTTGATAATACACAAATTCTGGTAGTGATTTTTTCTTCTCTAGTAGGAAATCATAAACCGCGGTTTGCCTGTTCTCTATAGCTAGAAGTAAGACGTTCTTCTCATTAGCATCCGCATCTTGAATGGCAACTGGGAATGTTTCAAGTATTTTCTCTACAATCTCCTTAATTCCAACCTTAGCTGCTACTAATAAAGGTGTCTCCTTGTTCTCGTTTGTCTCTGTATGTATGTGCCCAATTAACTTCAAAGTTGCATCAGCTGGATGGGAATATATATATATATATATATATATATATATATATAAGAATCACTGCTGGAAATCTTTGATTTTTCGACCACTTAAAAAATGGTAAAAAAGTAATATTTCTTCAATTTTTCATTGAAAGATTATGGTGGAGAAATAGGTAAGAAATACCGACCACAGAGTATAGGTGGTCGGAAAAAAAATTTCGGCAGTTTAAATTGTTTAAACGAATTGGGAATTTCCGCCAATCTTTCTAGTAGCAGATTTTTCCGATCACTTTACAAAATTGGATGCTATTTCTGACTACTTTACAAAATTGGATGCTATTTCCGACCACCATTCTAGTGGTTGGTGATGGTCGGAAATAGCAACAAAGGTTTTTCCGGATCTTAAAAGTAATCGAAACCAGAGCTTCCTACTTGATTTAAGTTCACTTTCAGGTGGTCGGAAATTCTTTGATTCCCAGCAGTGAATAAAGGGTTTCCATATATATATATATATATATATATATATATATATATATATATATATATATATATATAAAATCTCTCCACCAATCTGGTGTTAAAAAATAGATCTATGATGAAATTAATTGGATAATTAAAAATGTATGTGTGCATAGGGAACATTTTGATGTATACAAGCGTGTACACTTGCTTAATTCTCTTAATAATTAATCTTATCTATAAATTTATTTTTTAATGCACCAAATTAGTTCTTATGCAGTCATGGGAGGTTAAACTATATATGCATGCATGCATCAAGAAATTAAATTGAGTACATATCGAATTTTTACCCAATTCATTCTCATTTTTCTTCATAATGGTTTCAGGTTTTGCAGAATTGGTTGAAGTTGGTGATTCATCTATTGTGGGTGGAGTGGTTGGTGGTTCAATTCCAGTAGATTCTCTTGCAGCATCTTCTGGAGGTCTCCCCCCAGTATACTGGTACTTGTAGCTAGATTCTTTCTCAATCAGTTCATTCATGATCTGGACTGCCCACGTGTTCATTTCCTTCTTGTCCTTAATTTTCCTTATCCTTCCAAATCCTATATATATATCACATACAGTTTAGTCATTAATGGAAGGAAGCTAAGGAAGGAAACCAAATCATTAAAAAACTCAAACCACTATACACTGACCGGTTCCCAATATAATCAACACAACCTTCATCAGAAGCTTGAAAAGCATAACAGTTGTGGTGTAATTTTCCGGCAATGTGCCTTGAGTTCTTCTTGTTGATATTTGACAGAATCTGACTTTGTGCTCTGCTACCTCTGTACATTTGAAGTTTCCAGATTTCCAGCTTTCTTGTTCTGTGGGATCATTTTTATTTGCATCTCTTTCCCTACTAGCATTACCTATTCCAATAACAAGTACGTAAAAAGAGAAGAATCTAATCTTGATCGATCGGTCGATCAGGAACTTAACTATGATCATGTATATAACACAAGCTGCAAATTAAACTTAGCTTCTACTATACCCACCTTCTTCTGGATCATTTTGATCCGCGAATGTTCTGCTACAGGAACTACCTATTCCTGCAACAAATAAATGTTAAATGGAAAAACATATATGCATGCATATAAATCTCAAGTAAAAGAAGACAGTTAAACATGCATTATGTACCCACCAAAAAGCCTGGAAATGCATTTCCCGACAAACTTGAAGAATTCCACTAGTGTCCACCAGTTTGCTGGGAAGTTGTTAAGAATTTCATCATCCTCAGCAGATTGTTTTGCCCTTTTTAGGCTTCTAACAGTAGCACCTAGCGAGAAAAATTAAATGAAAAAGACAAAAACCAATATATACTAAGCTTGTAGACACATCAAAGTATATATATAAAATAAAAAAGAAAGAAATCACACTGATGGAAATTTTGGAATTTCCGACCACCTGAAAGTTATCAAGTTGAAAGCAAAAAGTGGTCGGAAATAGCAATAAAGGTTTTTCGGGATACCAAAAGTGGTTGTAATAAGGCTTTCGACTTGATTTAAGATCACTTTCAGGTGGTCAGAAATTCCATAATTTCCAGCAGTGTCATATGTATGTATGTATAATAAAATATTGTTAGTTGTATAGATTTGTACTGTGGTAGATGATGAGATCAACAGATCCTAGATAACTGCTGCTTTTGAATGCATGTGGTTTTGTGGCTAGAATATGTAGAGGAGATATCCCATCCTCATTCACATAATTGCCAAGTTCTGGAAGTTCACTGATTATCTCGTACGCCATTTCTGTTAGTTCAAGTAATTAAATTCAGAAGGAAGCTAAGGAAGCTAAGGTGTTTGTTAAGAAAGATGGAAACACACCAAAGTACTCTCCAGAGAGAGCTGAGTGAAGAATAGTATCCCCATTTTCCTGTCTGCAAATATCAATTGGATTGTGGTTTTCCTTCTTGAACACTGTGAGCAGGAACCGAAAAGCCTCCATCTTGCCACGATGCGCCGCCAAGAACAATGGCGTCTCCTTCTTAAAGTTGCGCTCTCTGATCAGCTCGAACGCTTTGCCTTGATTTTGAGGTCTGGAGAGAATATGTTTGCAGATTTCAGTGTTTCCAAGGCGAGCAGCAAGGTGAAGAGGAGTGTCACCTCTCTCATTCTGCAATTTCAACACTCTCAATGCCTCATCATCATCTTCTAACATATCCACCATGTTCTTGATATGTTGAAGAAGGTTTTTGGAGCCTGCAGGGTGGTAACAGTTGATGAGAATGTGGAGAACGGTGTCTCCTGATTTTGTAATTTTTGCCTTCCAAGCAACCGCTCCAGAGCGGTGGTATATGGATGAAACTCTCTCCCATTGTTGCTTCATGCACGCTTCAAACAATGTGTTCTTCATCACTATTTCTTTTTCTGATGAGGTCATCATCATTATATTTCTTCCGATCTGGTAGCTATCTAGCTTATAATATATGTATGTGTCCTACTGTCCTAGAAGCAATAATATAATTTAGTTAAAAGAAATGCATTGGCTCTCTTTAGTTCTGATCCTTTTCTTTTCTTTTGACTAAAGGAAGTAATATGTTCTCTGTACTAAAGTAATATAATATTCCTTTTGGGAAATTATATCTGTAATCTTCAATTATTCCCTATACCTTTATTTAATTTTTTAAAGTAAACTTGTATTTCATTAATTAAATCAAATTGGAGGCAAGTACAACATAAATAAAATCAAAACACTAACCAAAACCTTACGGTCCTCAATAATTATTCTGAGCACTGATATATTTGTAATACTAGAATGAATTGACTGCACAACAATCTCGGAATCCATCTCGGGTTAGAAAGGAATTGCAATTTTATGGGAGATGAATTACTGAGAATAAAGTGAGAATAATAATAATAATAATAATAATAATAATAATAAGGGAAAATGACACTTTTTACCCCTGAGTTATATACTTATAGCACTTACTTGGCCCATTTACTACCTTTACAATTATCCAACACAATACTACGGTAGTCACGACATTTTATATCATGGATCAGGGTCCACATAGCATTATGCATTCTGAATCGAAATGATGAGGTATAAAATTCATACTTGTAAGATATATAATCTCATAACACAAGATACAATTACTAATTTTTTTGGGTACAAAATTTGTACTCTTAAAATACAGAATTTCATAATACAAGATATAAAAATTCACAAACATACAGATACACATACACCAATGTCTACAGCGCACTTTGAACCCAAGTCCATAGATTGGGTATAGTGACACTCCAATCAAAGGATATTAATTCTTCACATACAAGTACATCCCGTTTTAGAATTTTAAACTTGAGCGGGTAATTCTTCATAATTATTGTCATTTGAGAGAGATCTTAAATAGCTTTGAAGAATTCCCCTATGTTTTCCATTTTTCATTTCTTAAATTTTTCATTTTTTATAGTATTCAATTTTTCAATGAAAAATGGGTTAGAAATGTTGTTTAAGGGATTGAAGTGTGGATCTACTTTTTCCTTTTTTTTTTTTTTTTCAAATTTGGAGATGGAATTAGTTAAATGGATTCTCCAAATTCTAAAAAAATATTCTCCATTTTTCAATTTGGAAAAAAAAAATTAGTAAATAAGTTTTGCTGCATTCTATTTTCTATTTCTCCAATTTTTTATTTTTTTAAAAAAATGATTCATTTCTTCAAAGTATGGAAACAACACAGTACTCATCCTTAGTCTTTCTCAATTGCTTTTCATTTCACTCTCAGGCATCATTTAGTTTCATCATATTATTCACTCTCGAACATGCCGATAGTATTGACATAACTTTATTTAATTAACTCACAATATTGGTTTAGCATTGAGAAAGTGGTGGGTACAAGCCATGAAGAGTCTGTGGGTTTAATTGTTTAATTTATTTAACAACTTTGCACATGGACAACTAACACATATGGCACATAAAAAAATTCACGAATTTAATTATATTACAACTAAGCTAAGGAAAAATTAAAAGGATTTGCACTTGCAGACAACACATATATATGGCACATAAACAAATTTTAGCTGTAAGATTCCCACTAAATATTAAACAATTGCAGCTCATATTACGTTGTCATTCTCTAACTCTAATCTTTACAAGTTGAAATTCTGCAAACCAACTCATCTCTTACAACAAACAGCTTCATTCTCCAATCTCTCCACAAAACGCTCAGATTTCTCCAATCTCTCACGTTAATGGTCTTTCGCATTACCCAATTCCACTCATCTTGCTTCAGCTAATCTTCACACCTATACCAACAGAGATAGAGAAAGAGAAGAAAAGAATGGCTTGTGTATCTGTAAATTCTCTTATCAGAACATTAGAGCTTGAGTTCTTGCAACCTCACCCTCGTCCAATCCTACAACAAATGGAACTCATCCCTTTTAACAAAGACCTCATCCAATCTCTCAAAGCAAAGCTTGGTTTTCTTATACAACTGTTCGACGAGTTCAGAATGTATGGTGTTGAAGCAATTAAAGACTTGGAAACAAAGCTCAGAGATGTAGCTTTCAGAGTAGAAGATGAAATTGAAACCCATGTAGTAGATCTCTATAAAGAAGCTGACGAGGAAATGGGACAAGGGGACACTGAAGCCAAAAAAACCCAGCATTCTCATAGACTTTGTCATGTATTGCAACATGCAATAGAAGACATTGATGCCATTAAAGAAGAGCTAGAGAAAGTCATGATGGAGTACAAGCATGTTGTAGCTGTGCAAGGAAGGGATACTACACTTGATGATGATGAACTTGTCAAGATGGACGGATCCGGTTCCTCCAATCATGCTTCACACACTGAGGACATCATGGTTGGGAAAAACAATGAGTTCGAGGCTATAAGGAAGATGTTAATACAACATCCATCTAAACAACGAGAAGTTGTCTCAATTCAAGGTATGGGAGGAATCGGCAAGACAACGTTAGCTAGACAAGTTTATGAAAATCGATCAATTGTCTCCCACTTTGACAGACGACTATGGGTTATTGTATCACAACATCACAATAAGAGGCAAATGCTCATAGGTCTTCTTGGTCCTAAAGACAATGTAAACAACAGCAGTGATGAGGACCTAGCATATCAGCTGTACCAAAGTTTGAAGGGTCAAAGGTACTTGATAGTAATGGATGACATATGGAGCAGAGAGTCATGGAATGATGTTAACTCTTGCTTTCCAGATGATATAAATGGGAGTCGAGTATTGTTGACTACTCGCGTTGCAGATGTGGCTACTTGTATTGGCTCTAACGAATACTTCTCCCATCAAATGCAGTTTTTAGATCAAAGTGAAAGTTGGGAATTATTTCATAAAAAGGCATGCAAATCTCATAGTGTTGAATTTGAGACAATTGGGAGACCAATTGTTGAGAAATGTAAAGGATTGCCTTTGGCAATTGTTGTGGTAGCAGGTTTATTTTCAAAACTCAATAAACTAGATGAGTGGAAGAATACTGCTAATGCTCTAATAAGTTCTTCAACATCAACTCTAGATGATGAAGAATGTTGGAGAATCCTCTCATTGAGTTATAGTCACTTGCCTCATAATTTGAAAGCTTGTTTTTTATATTTAGGAGTTTTTCCAGAAGATTATGAGATCGATGCTAGCAATCTTGCAAGGTTATGGGCTGCTGAAGGATTTGTAAAGGCATTCAAGAACGAGAGTTTTGAAGCGGTGGCTAGAAGGTACATAAATGAACTTATGGATAGAAACTTAATTCATGTAAGTGAAAGAAGTAGTTGTGGAAGAAAAATTAAGTCGTTTAGAGTACATGATTTATTGCATGCCTTTTGTGTAAGAGAAGGTCAGAACCAGAGTCTTTTGCATGTTGTGGTTGAAAGTGGTTCCAATTTACCTCAGAAAGGTGTCCGTTGGATAAGGGTGTCAATTGAAGATTTTGACATCTCTGCGTTACATTCTCTATCAAAACACTGCCGGTCCATCATTTATTCTGAGGGGTCGCCCATAGATGCAATAATTTTGGAATCATTCAGTCTATTAAGGGTACTCTATGCTACTAATTTTGGAATCTTTAAGCCGAATGTTTATATCCATTTGAGATACCTATGGATATCCTTGCAAGATGATCCTTCTCATTCATTATTCTCCAACGCTTGGAATCTTCAAACATTTAGGGTGTATGAAGATACAGGATTGCACCATTTGGAGTTTCCACAACTACTTTATATTCGTGGTTTTGAATTTAAAGGAGCTTTTCCCAAATCTGTTCATCAAAACTTGCAGGTCATTTCTAGATTGCTGGCTAGAAAATGTGACCACGAGTCCTTAACAAAAGTTCCATACCTAAAGAAGGTAACTATTATTATAAGTGAAACCGCTGATTGCACTAAGAACCTTGTCTGTTTACAGCAGCTCGAGAGTTTGTCTCTTTGTGTTGATATATGGTGCTATGAAATTCCGGAAATCATTAACAATATTCTTCTCTTGAAAAATATTAGGAAGCTGAGGTTTGATTTTGATTTAATGAAATTTGACTGGAAGGTAATTAATGTTTTGAGCAAGTTACCAAGGCTTGAGGTGCTCAAGTTATTGGTAATTTCTAGCTGCTACGCTAGCAAAAAGTGGGAAGTACCAGAGAATGTGAAATTCTGCCACTTAATTTGTTTGAATATTTGGTATGGTAATCTCAAGCATTGGGAAGTTGGTGCTCATAATTTTCCAAAACTTGAGCGCCTATTCCTTAATGATTGCTGTGAATTGAGAGAGATCCCGAATAGCTTTGCGGAAATTCTAACATTGAACTTAATCCAATTAGAGAGATGTCATCCTTTTGCAGTGAAGTCAGCCAAGCAAATTCAGGCTGACCAGCTTGACTATGGAAACGAGAATATGGTTGTCATTGAGAAATACACAAGACAGGTCTCTCGATCATTCTCCATTTCTTTTTCTCGATTGCTTTTTATTTCAGTCTCGTTTAATTTTTTCCAAACTTCATTTAGTTTTATCACATCCTAATTTGTTTTCATCCATTCATGACATCCTCGCTCTCTAGCTTGAAGAATACTCCGATGAAGGCGAGTTTGATGAAGATGACTCCGATGAAAGCGAGTTTGATAATCGGCCCACATAGAGCCAAAATCCAATAAAAGAAGGGTGTGGGAAGAGCAGATGGTTGTTAGTTGTGCCTGTTTTTGCAATTTTGTTCTTTGAAATGGCTTCTGGTTCATAGATTCTTCAGCTGCAAATTTGAATAGGGTATAGATTACTATATTACTCTCTTGTATCTTCTTCTTCTAGGAATGAACAATATATATAATCTGCGGGATTTAAGGCTTGCTACTTGCTAGACGGATTTAACAATTGTAAAAATATTTTGATCTATCTGATCAACAATATTAATAGTGATGAATTCTCTTTAACTTCAGCGTAGCTGCATTAGCTTGGTGTTCTTGATCTAATATTTATAACCAGAGTAAGCTACCCACCCGTCTAAAATTTTCTCTTATAATCTTCCCTCCTTACATGACATTTTTTAACTAATGGTGCGGTGCTAAAACTTGTGCAAAACCGTCTCAGATCCTTATCCGTGATAAATAGTCTCCGAGAGATTAAATTGCAACTTTGCGCATAATTTAGGAGTTAAAGATGATTACGCATAATTCAGAGACTAATTCTATACCACTAGTATAATTGAAGGACAAAAATATTAATTTTCCCAAAATATTAATTACTTTCATCTAATATTAGCTTCTTGGTTTGAAGTTTGCACTACCTGTTTGTGGATTCAATTAAATGTTATTGCTTGAATATATTAGGGTTGCTGAGTTTGATTTATCATGAGAGATGCTTGTGTAAATTAATAATAAAGTCAAATGTGGAAATGAGAGATTTAAACCTTGGGCTAAGGTTTTGCTTGGGTGAGGTTTTGACTTTTGAAGGAGTAAATGCTTGAGATGAGGTTTTGCTTGGGAAAAAGCTTGGGTATAGGTTTGAATAAGACAAAAGCTTGGGCATAGATTTGTCTAAGGGGAAATGCTTAGGCAGAGGTTTGTACAAGGGGTAAAGTGTCACGCCCCACTTCTAGAACATGACCCGGTCGTACCGTTACATGAAAACGTGTAACAATATGAAGCCTAACCTCACATATCTCTCGAAACCATCATAACACCAACTAAATACATAACAATTCCACAACTCAAAATAATAAAATATAAGCAACTAGTTCTTCCCAAAAGCTCATTAAATCCACACACAAATATTTACAATCATGAGTAGTATGTCCAAAATACATCACAAGCACAACGGGTTACCAAAAATACAAGGGTCAAAGGGAATATCCAAAAGAAACAAAAATTCGTGATAAGCTCCAACACTAGGACTAAGTCTCCTAGTTTCAAAAGTCACCTTCGAGACCCAACCACTTGTGCTCATGCTATTCACATGTCCTTACTACTCTGAAACATGAGAAAATAAAATACAAATAATGAGCTAATGCCCAGTAAGTGATAGTCCTCTCAACCCCGGATCAAGTAACCCCAAAATAATACAAAAAGCTTTAGAGTAATAACTCGATGCAAAACTCGATCTTTAACCTATATCGAAGTCATAATATACTTTCATCATACTATACACAAGTTCACAAAACAAGAAACTTTAGCTACATGGACATCAACAATATTTCATAATACAATACTTTCAAAAGCACAAACCATTTCTTAACATATGACCCATTGGCAACCTATAACCACCATTATATTTTGTGGCACATGCCATTATCGGTATAATGGTCCAAAAAGACTCGACGATTCAGAATGAGTCAGGCTCGACGATTCAGAATGAGCCGGATGGAACGTTCCAACAAATAATTCAAAAGACTCGACGATTCGGAATGAGTCAAGCTCGACGATTCGGAATGAGCAATTAGGAACGTTCCAAGCCAAACAAAACAAACAACAAAATGTAGGTTGCCTCATGAGTTTGATCAAACAATCAAAATAGTTCTTATAATCAAATAGCCCGGTGTAGCAAAAGTCATTTTCCCTAAAAAATCACATAACAAGTACATAGTTTATTGTACCAAGTTTTTCAAGTCACATATTTTCTCAAGTTACATAATATTTCCAATTATTGATAATAAATTTATCAAACTAAGAAATATGCAAGGTGTAAACCCTTCCAAAATGATAATTTTCTTAGTATAAAATTTTAACTAATTAAGGATGCTGTGGCTACTCCCCAACTCATTAAAATTATAAGATCACTAGACAATTATCATTGCCAATCTTTATGTAATTTAAACCATAGTCAATTTTTAGTAAATTAAAGATGCTGCATGTGGCTGCTCTTTAATTAATCTAAAATTGTAATCACTTGGCAAAAGGGGAATTTAAAGCCTAACAAACAAATTAAACCAACACATGATAAACAATTATTAGGTATACTCCCAGGAAAGTTGGTCGAGACGAAGCTCGGTTAAATACCAACTCCTTAGACAGAGTAGCGTCGCAAGGGGACTAGTAGCAACAAGACTTTTAAGCTAGGGCCATAGAACTAGTATTCCTCCCCAAGTAACTTCCCTAAGTTATGTGTTATCATGTTTGAAGTAAAATCGTTTAGAAGATCTAAAGATTGTAGATTCACCTACGATTAAGGCTTTAAATTGATGAATTAAGTTAACGGACTAAACGTGCTTAAATTCAGGCACTACCGCAATTAAAGTTTATGCATTAGTCCAACTTAAATAGGAACTAATATAATTCCATCCTAAATTTATGCATTGCTAAAGGCATAATAAAAAAAATTTGCATAATTTAAAACAGAATATTATGCTTAGGACAAATATGCATAAAATTAAACATTAAACTCATATATTCCAAACAAATTGCATAAATTAAAAGCAATTTACAATATGAGATTTCAAAAAATCTTTGAAATTTTAAACTGTAAGCCCATAACAAAATGTTTAACGCATAAAGATCAAATTTATGAGAAATAACTGAATTTACAAATTCTAACAATATCAAACAAAAATGATATGTTGTCATTTGTAAATCAAAATCTCACAAAACCTAATTGCATAATTAAACTTAATATTATGCACTTAATGTGATCAAATGCATAAAACAATATAAAGAGTATTAAAATACACCAAATATTCATTTATTCATACTTAACCAAATATGGGCAAAAACATTAATCATAATTCAAAGACTGAATGAACTATGGAATAAATGTACAATAATGGCAATAGTCAGTAATTGCCAAAAAAAAAAAAAATTCTTATCTGAAACATTGTCACATAAACATAATTGGAAACAATTTAGGATTCATAAATAAACCATAATAATAATGTTATCATTAAAATATTAATGGTAATAAATAACCTTATAATCACCATTAATATTTGGTAATAACAACCAAAGTATGGTAATATACCTTCTTTAATGTTTCCATTTTTCTTAAAGAAATAAAATGTGGCAATTTCAAAATTATAGCAGTCAAACTATAACTATAGCACTAATTACCAAAAATGAATAATGATAAAACTTAATGACTAACCTTAATGATGCAAATTGCATCTCCCATAGTGCTATAATTCTCCCTTCTTCATCGTCAGTAACCTCAATGCAACGTCACGTAACAATAAACACTAAATAGGTAATCTTTCCAAACATAATAAATTACCAAGAAATAATAATTACTATGAAAGGTAATAAACGAGATTAGCCCCTAAACTTAATAATAGTAATTAATAATGTCAAATATAACTTAATAAATGGCAAAACCGCAAAACCATAATTAAGGGGATACTGAATGCCAATCTCATATTACCACATAATAATTAACCAAGACTATAATGTCTTTCAGGGAGACTGAAATTATGGTAATAATCAAATTACCATTGTAAAGGCAATATACCAACTATATTGCTTACTATATTATTAAAGGAATTAATATTATTATTAAGGCCCTGAAAACTGTTGATAGATTAAAAAATATATATAATCAACTTAAACAATAGTTATAATTCTTAATGGCCAAAATAACAATTATAATCCTTAAATTCTTAATGGCTCATAAATAGACCCAATATAATAATTATAGCACTTAATCACTTAAATTAGACTCATAAACTCAATGGTCCAAGTGAGTTGTGACATGGATATAAAATGGTCTACTACTGAAATATATCCAAACTTAATAATTAATATTATTACCAACCAGGAATACCATTAACATAATATTGTAGTTAGTAATAATTAAGACTTAGTGAACATGTTATGCATAATAATCAATATTATTACCATAATAAACATGTTATAAGTCAAAATAAAATAGCTATAATTATTATTAAAATATCAATCAAAATGGTGGGATCCATACTTTAATGACCCAAGATAGGTCCCAAATAGCTTGTTCAAAATAAGTTTTAAAGTCCCAAGTAAAATATAGGACTAAAATATGCTCAAAATTAAATGAGAAACCAAACAAGCTGTCTTAATAGACCATAATATCAAATATTGGCCTAAGGATCCTAAAATTGAATGACATTTAATATAGAGACTATAAGTTAATAATATGTTAATCCAACTTTAATGCATGTTTTTATGAATGTACAATTATAATAAAATAATTTATGAATACACATAACATGCTTGAATTTTTACATATTAATATGTATTAACCCATAAATTCTGAATAAATTGCAATACTTCAGGCAATTTAATATGCATCTCAATATTCAATTAAAATTCAAATAGCAAATTTGAAACTTAATATTTGCCTAAAGTTGAATAATAATTTAATTATGAATTAATGCCAAAATTAAGAGCAAAATAAAGGGCATCATCCAAAAGCAAGCAATTACCATACGCTTACCATTTGCCAAAATAATATACAATATTAAATTAGGTAATATAAATATGGTAATAATAAACTAAATAATACCATTTACCAAATTAATATGTAATTACTAAATAATTGGCAAATAAAACATATGGTAAGAAAAAAAAATAAAGGTAATTGCATTTTATTAAGCAAATAAGGAAATGTACCAGACGTCCACACTGTACGCGTACTCATCTTCTTCCAACGTCACCAGAAATCAGCGCCACCGCCGACAGCCAGGCC